GGTCCAAAGGCATTTTGAAGAGCTTTGTTGCTAGACTGTGGAACATGAGACTCTTGCAATAAGAGACTATTTAATATTTTAAAATTTCATTTGTTTTCAGGCTTTTCTCTCTCTCGTTATTTTTTGTGGGGGTAATATTTCTCCATCTGCCTCTTCCTACCATTATCCTCAGCCAACCCAATGCAGGAAGCCTTGAAAGCAATAAAGGAGGTCACGTGGGGGCAGCTGTAAGTGATAGGGCAAGGTGAGGTGGGGGCTGAAGGTGGGAAGAAAAGTGTGGACTGAAGCATCTGATGGGACTTCCGGTGGGCACCTGGCATGGGGACACAGCTGGAGAGATGGCAGGTGTCCTGATGGAGGCACGGACTGACTAATAGCTGTGAATGTCGCAGCTCAATGCAGAATTAGCAAGAAGGCTCCCCAAGAGTGAGAGGCTGGGTAAGAAGTCTGGGAAAACCTGGAGGAATCTCTAACTGCGAGGAAGGCATAAGTGATATAACTATGATGACCTCATTTCCCTGAAATCACCAGGATGGGATAGCATATTCGATAGCTGTCTTGTCTTTCTATGTTGGGGTGACTATATGGTAATGGGCGAGAGTGAGAATATTGGTGCCTGGAACAAGGGTTGGGGCTGGGAGTGGCAAGAACTTTTCATGGGAGACCCCTTTGTGGTTCTCTCTGTGTGAATGCAGACATATGGGCGTAAACACCCATGCACATATGTCAGAGTGGTTTCAGTAGCTAGATAGCATGTTAGCAAACAAGGCACGTGCCCCAGTGTGTGTCTGTAGCCATGACGGGTATGGAATTCATTCAGCTGTGGATTGAACCCTTGCAGAACCAAGCTAGGATGTATAACTTCCCACTGCCTGGGTCAGAGGTGTTGGGGCCCCATTAGAAAATTAGAACTACATATGGCTTTTTGGCCACGGCAGTGAGAAAGAAAGTGACTTGTGTGGAGCCACTATGTGCCACGTATGATGCTGGAGGCTTCCTTTGTTGGTTGCTCGATTGCTTCATTAGTTCAACCAACAAGTGAGGACCCCCTATTGTGTCCTGGCAATGTCCCTGCCCTCATCCCCTCTCTGTTTTTGCCTTGTTTCTGAGTAGTGGGCTTTCCTAATGAGTCCGGGATCTCTGCATTCAGAAATGAACTTCTGCACAGTGGGGTGTTGGGCATTTCATACGGTGGGTGGGCCAGACTGCCCACAAGCCTGACTTCTCAGTTAAAACCAGTTTGTCCAGGGCACTGTAAAAGCAGTAGCCATGGGTTTGGTGGTAAGAAAAGGGATTGATTGGAAAAAAACCATACACACAAAATACAACTAAAAAGAACATGTTTGGTAAGAAAGAAAGAGAGGCCCAGGGCTGCGATGGAGAACTGGGTCAGGGGCTGGGACTGAAGATGAGTGAGCAGTTTTAACATACTACTTATAAAGAAATGTCCCGGAGGAGATATTGAGCAAGCGATTCCTGTTGGGAGCCTGGAAGTCTCCTGTCCCACCTTCCCTGAGAGCTGCTGGAGCAGTTCTGAGGGAATGCACCGGGCTCAGCAGCATCGCGGGGACTGCGGGGACTGCGTACGGTTGCCTGGGGAGGTTTCTGCTGCAGGCTAGCCTGTGGACAGCTTGTTTCCAGCCTGCTGCTGGCCATCCCCTCTGCTTTCTGAACTGCTTTCTTGGTGTTATTGGATGTATGGGTGTCGGTCCTGTGAGCAGCCTGATCTCAGCAGCAGAAGCAGGAGGAGCAGGGTTTGTTGCTTGCTTTGTTTTGTATTTGAAATCTAAAGATTGATTTCCATTCTGTGGCTGTGTGAACAGAGCCTGAGGGCTCAACAGCTCTGTTCCGCTGATGCTTTGAGTCTTCAGAAAGGACTCACCTCAGTGGCCTATGGAGGGAAGCCCGGATTTGGGGTGGGACGAGGTGGGACAGAAACCTGAGACAACGCCAGGTACAAGGCAGACTGTGGAGACTCAAGCATTGCTCACATCACATTGCCATGTCAGGGAAAAGCTGCAATTCCAACCCCTAAACCCTAGAAATGATGTTTAAATCATAGGCTTATTCCCCAAGTGGCTGCTCTGCTCTAAGGGAACAGAGGTCTAGGGTTAAGATAAACATGACCTGGGCTCTGACCAGCAGAAATTCAGGGATGTGACTCATTGTAATACAAGGAGGACTGTGATGAGGTCGTCAGGGAGGTACACACGCGGCTGAGGGAGTAGAGGGAGGGGGAAACTAATTCCTGCTGGAGAATCTGGTGTTAGCATCCACATTTATTTCCCACGGCTGAAACACTTCACCCCCTCTCTGCTTAACACTGCGAGCTTACTTTTCTGCTTCTCTGGCCAAGGGAGTTATCTGGCCAGGGCCAAGGGAAAACCTATGAGGAAAAGCATTCAGGGCCTGGACTTGCTGGCAGCTGGTTGAAAGGATTTTGTCCTATAGGATTGCTGTTCTGCTCTCAGGGATAGCAAAGCTAAAAACCCATTACACCCACAGGTCAATATCCTTGTAGGACAGTGGAGATTTAGGATAATGTTCCCATTTTATAGATGAAGAAATTGAGGACAATAGTGGTCCAAGGGTCCAAAATTACAGCTGGAACCAAGGGTCTTAACGCCCATTTCACTCCTTTAAAGAATATTGAACTTGTTATCTAGACAAGCACATTGACATTATGTAAAAGGTAAAGATGAAAAGAAAAAGGAAATAAAATGTTATATAGCATTCACATTGCATTCTTCCACCCTCCATGTCTTGAGAGAAGAGGAGGACTCTCCCTCTTCAATTTGACTTTCAAAAACTGGCAATGGGTCTAGAAAGGGGAGGTACCCAGCAGAGACACTGGAAAGGGAGATGCTGTGTGAAGAGCAGAGTTACAGAGCACTAAAACATGCCGATTGTGGGCCTGGCACAAGTCTGACGCACAGTAGATGCTCAATAAATGTTCATCCCTTTCAGTCACAGAGGGGTTAAGACCCCTCCCCCCCCGAAGCTGGCATGGCCTCAGCATAGTCATGATGGAGTAATGGACAATTAGGGCGTAGTTCAGATATTCATAGATAATGACATTTGACTTTGAATTGAGATTCTCTCCAAAGATTTTAGCTTTATAATTTATTTGCATACTTAGGATTATATAAGTTCAATTGAGGAAAGAAATAAAGGAGACACACGGATTTGCTTCCTTCAGCATTCTCTTATTGCAAAGCAAACCTCTTGAATAACTAGCTCCCTGTACTTTACCCTCATTGCCTCCTCACCACGTAGTTAAGACAGGATTGGAGACGTGAAGGAGGTGGTACAAGAAGGTAAATCACACTGAGTTTCTGCTATTAACTAGGAACTGTGCTTAGCACAGGTTTTTATTATCTGGTTCTGTTTTTACAAAGTCTTAGTCTTCTTACTATTCACTTTCCATAGGTGAGGAACTGAAGCTCAAAGAGGACTGTGAATTATCCAAGGTCATTTAACTAAAATACAATGAAACTGGGACTTAAACTTGAAGCTTATGTGTTTTACCTGATTGTATGCTAACTCTGTCCTTGGATCTGAGAAATCCTGGTTCTGTAACTTAGGTGACCATGTGAAGTTCATGGTCACAGCACATGAAAAGAAAAGGAGATCTCTTTGCTTCACCCAAAATAACAACAGCTAACATTTGTATTGTGCATCATGGTCTTCAAAACTTCAGATGAATTTCCCACTTTATAGCTAAGAATACAGGACGGAGTTTAATTCAATGTCACAGAGACAGTAAAAGGCAAAACTGGGACTCAAACAGATTTTCTGACTTTGAATTTAACTCTGGTTCTCCATAGTGTCTCTCCCATGTATTTGGCCACATGGATAAAGGAAAGACTGGGCTAAGTTTAGGTGTGGGTGCTCTGTGCACTTGGTGACTTCTGATATTCATCCAACCCTGGGTATCACTGAAGAGCCCGACTTTCTAATTGCTTAGCATACTCACCAACTGACAAAATCAAGGTATACTTGGATCTTGGAGCTGTGGAAAGTCTTTGATTGCGCCCTAACTGGTTTGGCTCAGTGGAGAGAGCGTCAGCCTGCGGACTCAAGGGTCCCAGGTTCGATTCCGGTCAAGGGCATGTACCTTGGTTGCAGGCACATCCCCAGTCGGGAGTGTGCAGGAGGCAGCTGATCAATGTTTCTCTCTCATTGATGTTTCTAACGCTCTATCCCTCTCCCTTCCTCTCTGTAAAAAAATCAATAAAATATATTTAAAAAAAAGAAAGTCTTTGATTGCAATCTCTTATTGGGTGCCCAGAGTGAGACAGACACAGACGAGGAACTTTCCTTAAGCCCCTCATCTTCTGGTTTTCAAGTAGAAAAATGAGAGTTGATGGTTATAAAAACTTCTGGTTACAGGAAAGAAAACTCTCTCATCAATGCCTGGCTATTGTGCATCCCTGCTGTGCGCAGGAAGGAAAGAGGCAAGCTAGTTTGAAGAACAACAACTATTTTGCAGAATCCTAGGTCAGCTTCTTTCTGCAAGAGGATGCCTATTTCCCCACATCACCTGCAAAAGCACTTGCTAAAACTCTTGCTGGGGCAGAGGGAAAAGTAAGGAGAACACTAATGCTGGTATTGAGGGGCTCCCACAGTCTCTAAACCTGCTATCTCCCTGATTAGTTGAACTGGGTGGCGAGCCTGCACAGGCCCGAGTGGTAGCTGGCCTCCCTTGGGTTGATCCAGGGCAGGGAGCAGCATTCTGCAGAAGGTCCCTTTTCAGATTGAGAAACCCACATTCTGATCTCTCTTTTGATGATTTTACAAAAATCAAATTGCATGACAGATGCCTAGATAAACCAGAGAAGTCTGCAATCAAAGCAAGTTCTGGGATGGGGCTGATTGTAGATTTTTAATGGCTATTAGCTTGATAATCACACACCAGGAATAGCTTCCAGGTAGACCAAACCCTTGCATAAGTGGGCCCACACCCATACACACCAACACCCAGTAGCAGAATAAAAGGGGACCCTGACAGTCTCCCAATAGCAGACTTGTGTCTCCAGCTTTAAGTCTTCTCAGGAACCTTCAACTTCCCTTGCTGGGCAAAGGCATCATGAGTTGTCAGATCACGTGCAAATCTCGAAGATCAGGAGGTGGAGGAGGCTTTCGGGGCTTCAGCAGTGGCTCAGCTGTGGTCTCTGGTGGGAGTCGGAGATCAGGCACCAGCTTCTCCTGCTTGAGCCGTCATGGCGGTGGCGGAGGTGGCTTGGGCGGAGGCGGCTTTGGCAGTCGGAGTCTTGTTGGCCTTGGAGGGACCAAGAGCATCTCCATTAGTGTGGCCAGAGGAGGTGGCAGCTTTGGCTCCGGTGGTGGATTTGGTGGCAGAGGAGGTGGCTTCGGAGGTGGCTTCGGAGGTGGCTTCGGAGGTGGCTTCGGAGGCGGCAGTGGCTTCGGAAGTGGAGGTTTTGGAGGAGGCGGCTTTGGTGGAGGCCGCATGGGAGGTGGCGGTGGCTTTGGAGGTTTTGGGGGTCCTGGAGGTTTTGGGGGCCCTGGAGGATACCCTGGAGGCATCCATGAAGTCTCCATCAACCAGAGCCTCCTGCAACCTCTCAATGTGAAAGTTGACCCGGAGATCCAGAATGTGAAGTCACAGGAGCGGGAGCAGATCAAAACTCTCAACAACAAATTTGCTACCTTCATCGACAAGGTGAGTCATGAGACGCTGGCTCCTTCTGATGCTTAGGATGCCCTGCTTCCAGTGCTACCTGAAAAGCAAACCACAGAGATTTGTTTCTATCAGGGACCATCAGTGTGATCTGACAAGCCTGAGTTATTAGCAATATCCTAATGGGAAAGGTGCTGGCTTCGTGGGCTACCCATCGTGCACAACAGTTTGCAATGAGGAGTTATTTGTGCCCAGGGCTTTATTGTTTTTGCCTAAATAAATAAGATTTATGGAAAATGCTGAAAATCACCGAAAATGTGATATAGATAAGTAACGAACTGACGGGTGCAGGCCATGGGACAGCAGGTTCTGGAAGGGATTGGTAAGACATCTTCTGAGATCGTCTTTCCTTCCCTAGAAGTTATTACTCTACTGAATTCTGGGAAGCTGAGTCTGAAATATCTGCTTGGGGACGAATGAAATTCTTGCCTTGAAAAGAAACATTCTCAGTTTTGTGACCCATAAAGTCTTTATTGGTGTCACGTTGGAGTGTTATAGGGTTTTCTTCTATCTCAAGGCAGTTGAACCTAAGGGATTTACAAGGCTCTTAAACACCAGACCGAGGAGCCCTGCCTTCCTGTGCTCTCACATTCGTCACCCCTAGGAGCAGTGCCAGTGGATGCCTGCTTTTGGGTTTTCCCCAGAATATATGGGACCTTTGCCTGGAATTAAACTAGAATGGGAGGGAAATGACCTGGAGTCTTGGGAACAGTGGTAAACAAACCGGTGGAAGGTGAAGTAGGAAAAGAGTTCTGTGCATAGAGAATGCTCAGTGTAATAATAGGCGTCTGTAGAGCTTTCTCAGTGTGGAGGCAGGGACCGTGCAAGCTCTGTCTGGCACGACCCGGCCTCCAGTTCAGGAGGGTGACGCTGTGTAGGCTTCTCTAGGTCCCGAAGGAAGGCAATCTAGAGCTCATGTCCTCTCCTTCTGGCCATGGCAGGTGCGGTTCCTGGAGCAACAGAACCAGGTGTTGCAGACCAAATGGGAGTTGCTGCAGCAAATTAACGTCAGCACCCGTTCCACCAACCTGGACCCCATCTTCCAAGCGTACATTGGCCAACTGAAGAAATATGTGGATTCGCTCACTGCAGAAAGAACATCACAAAATTCAGAGCTGAACAATATGCAGGATCTCGTTGAGGATTATAAGAAGAGGTAGGTGGCAGAGTAAACACTGCATGGAGATAAATATTGATCTGAGCTACCTGATCATTCCCCTAGCAAGCTACTCATCTCCCAGTTGCATTTGTGGTGATAAAGGGGAGAGGCATCAGGATCTTTATCATTTTTTTTGTGAGAAAAATATTTAGGGCTTTAGAAATCATGTTTTTTACATGTTTGAGAGTTCATTTATAGGAAAGCATCCTCATTTAGGATATCATAGTTTCAATTTAGACAATTAAAGAATGCTTAATATTCCAAGAAAATCTTGTATTTTTGGTACATCCACTAGATAAAGGAAAAGAAAAAAGTAAAGGATATAGAATAGTCTAACAGCTATGTTCTTTGGGTCTCAACAGGTATGAGGATGAAATCAATAAGCGCACAGCTGCTGAGAATGATTTTGTGACACTCAAAAAGGTGAGTTAGAAAATGTCATGGCTGGGGTGGGAATGAGGGTGCTTTAGAAGCCTGTGCTCTAAACAGACAGGCTGGAAAACAACTCTGCTTGAAAAGAGAGTGGCCAGGGAAATGGGTGGGCATGTCTATCCCTGGTTCTCTTGGAAACAAAAGTGCTTCTGTAGTTCAAGATTCTGGAGACAATTTTCAAAGATGTGCAATTTGCTAGAGCCTTTCCCATCAGTAACTTACTTAAAACCTATATTGGATCATGAAAGATGCAAACACAGAGAACACTTAATTCTCTAAAGAGTTGAGGAAGGAATGGGACTTCCCTGGTGAAAGAAGCTGCAGGTGGTGCCGACAAGGGTTAGAAGGCGAAAGTGTGAGTTTTCAGCCTGGTTCCTACAGAGGCTTTGGTATACAGTCCAGAGAAATTCAGGAGAGATTGGAATAGACAGACAGGATGGGAGAGTTGGGAACTATTAAAAACCACAAAGGTCATTATGTCCCATAGTGTATCAAGCAAGAGAGAGAGAATGGTTGATAAAGCTTGGTCCTATCAGAGCTCTGATGGTCTCTGGGTGTATGTGTGTGTGTGTGAGCGGTGACATGGGCATGGAGCACCCAGGAGAGGCATACAGTAGACTCCATGCCCAAGAGGTCCCATGGGGACATGGCTCATCTGGAGGTACCTGGGATATTGGAGAGCAGCTAACAGGGACTAGGTGGAGTGAAGTGTTGAGAGGGGGTGGGGCCCATACCCAGAAAGCTACAAGGTTAGTAAGTGAGTGGGGGGCATGAGTTTCACCAGAACCCCCTTACCTTTCTTACAGGATGTGGACAATACCTACATGGCCAAGGTGGAGCTGCAGTCCAAAGTAGAAGTGCTGAGTCAGGAAATTGAGTTCATGAAAGCCCTCTTTGATGCGGTAAGGAGGCTGCTCCTGGATAGAACCTTACTTCCTCCTCTTCCCACCAAAGGAAAGTCATTCCCAATGGTTGAAAAGGTGGTTTAGGTGGGGTTTATAAACTGGCTGACTTCAACTTGCCATCACTCCTTGGCACCAGGAGGCTTCTATAGTGTAGGTCTTGGAGGAGAGAAATTTTCTCTGATGTCACAGGAAATAAGGCTCAGGAAACACTAGGACAACTTCCCCTTACTCCATTCCCCAGCGTTCATCTCCCTTTAGGAAGAGACCTGTCCTGTCCCTATCCTGATGTCTAGTATACTTCAGAGGTCAAATGTAACATATCTCTCTGCTCCCTGCCCAAGTGAAGATACATGACTTCTGAAACATGAATTAAAATATAAGGCATTTGCCATCAACCAGCTTCTTTCTGGAGGCACTAAACAAAACTGCATAACTGGTGAAGGCTGTTAACTAGAAGGCTCAGAAATACAGACCCCTCTCCTACCATTCTCAGGACAACTTTGGCAGGGGCCGAGGAACGGTGGTTATAGCACTTTAACTCCTATGCAGAGTCTGAATACTGGGGAGGGGTTGCTGCCTCACTGGGCAGAGAAGCCATGGCCAGACTTCCCGTGTGTTGCAGGAGCTGAGCCAGACGCACCAGACTATCACCGACACCAATGTCGTTCTGTCCATGGACAACAACCGCAACCTGGACCTGCAGAGCATCATTGCCGAGGTCCAGAGCCAGTATGAGGAGATTGCCTTCAAGAGCAAGGCTGAGGCTGAGGCCCTGTACCAGAGCAAGGCAAGTACTAGGTGCTGAGGGAGAGCCACAGCTTCTTCTACCAGCCAGATACTGTATAAGATGGTCAGTGTTTTTATCTAATGGAAATTAGGCATCATTCCCCAGAAAAAGTGTCCACCATACCCCAAATGCCCCCAATTGGGGTTGGCATGGAGCCCTTCTGGGGGTGTGAGATGGTCGCCAACCTCCCACAAATGCAGCCATGACATCTGGCTTGGTTGACCCTCCCTGGACCAGTATCAGACTTTCCCTGGCTCAAGCCAACCTCCCCCTCAGGTGCAACTGTCTTCCTCTTCCCATATAGTATGAGGAGCTCCAGATCACTGCTGGGAAACACGGAGACAGCATGAAAGAGATCAAGATGGAGATCAACGAGCTGAACCGCATGATCCAGAGACTGAAAGGGGAGATTGAACATGTGAAGAAGCAGGTGGGGACTGGCCCTGAGGACTGGTGCAGCTCCACTGGTTGAGTGGGGCTTGGGGAGGGAGGGTGTGTATGTGTGTGCAAGTGTGTGTGTGTGTGTGTGTGTGTGTGTGTGTGTGTGTGTGTGTCTGTGAGAGAGAGAGAGAGAGAGAGAGAGAGAAAGATAAAGAGAGAGAGAGAGAGAGAGAGAGAGAGAATCTGAGATGTTCTAATCTAGCATATGCTGATCCCAAATGCCTTGAGTTTAACATAACTTAAAACTTATAAGAATTTTTTAGAGTGGCCTAGGAGACATTTAGAGCAAGGAGTAGTGCAGGGAAATAATTGTGCCCACTTTTTGATTGCTTACACCAGTGAAAGGGAATAATAACAAATAAAACAAGAGGTTGTCGGACTTGCGTGGATTGTAGCCACAGCTTTCCCACTGCGGCACAGCCCTGAGCACAGCCGGCTGCGTGGTGAAGGGCAGGGAAGCAGGGAGTCGGCATAGGGCGGGACATTAGCTTTGGAAGGGATGATGTGGGGCACAGAATTTGCTCCATAAATAACAGGATTGGCGAAGCAGTCCACATCAGATGTTTCCATAACAATTTTGGCCCCGTGTTGTGAGGATCAAAGGCCTTCATGGGGAATTCAAAAGGGTACAGTCAAAGGTGACTTGGGAAGATGATGCTCCCGAGACAGCCACAAGTCTTAGCACAGTTGTTTGTAGCCTGCATTAACTCTGGGGCAAGTCCACATTGCCTGAGCCAGCGATTCTGGCTTCCCACATCCTGGATACCTTTGTTCCCTCTCTGCAGACTCCACTCTCTAGAGAAACCTTTTCTCCTTCTCTCCTAGTGTAAGAATGTGCAAGACGCCATTGCAGATGCTGAGCAGAGGGGAGAGCACGCCACCAAAGATGCCAAGAACAAGCTTCTTGACCTGGAGGAGGCCCTGCAGCAGGCCCGGGAAGAGCTGACCCGGCTGCTGCGTGACTACCAGGAGCTCATGAACACCAAGCTGGCCCTGGATGTGGAGATTGCCACCTATAGGAAGCTGCTGGAGGGCGAGGAGTGCAGGTGAAAGGCACTGGGAGGGCTGAAGGGACCCTGGCTACCCTTCCCTTCTCTCTTAGAGCCAGGGCTGGAGGCCAAGGCAGGGAAAGCAAGGATGGAGCAGGGCCTTCTGATGGCTGAGAGCTGACATCACAATGATCCCAAGCAGAGATTCAGGACATAACACATTATTATACAGTGGTAGATTTATTGATATGGAATGACTAACAAGGCAGAGTAAGCTACTTTAAGCAATAAGTTAATTGTAGTCTTTTCTGAAAGAGAAAGCAAAATGCTGTGAAACCAGGTTAGTCCCAGACGTTTTGAAACCTTGCTTTCTGGGTCTGCGGGGTGCATTGTGATCTGGAATAGGGTTGGGACATGCGGACTGGCTGGGGCATGCTCACCCAGAGCAGGCGCCAAACCTAATTCTTTGCAGGTTTCTGGAGGCATAAACAGAACCATTTGCTAACCTCCCTAAAGAGAACCTTTCTCTCCAATGTGTTTGGAAAAGTTTGTTAGTGCTATTAGCATCCCCAGTGATTTCATCTGGCTATAAGCAACTGGAGGGGGAAAGCTGCCTGGGCCCCCAGCGAGCCAGTATGACAGAGAGGGGGCTGCTGGCTTGGGCTGTTGCTCTGTGCCTGTCTGTGAGGCCAGGCCTCCTACCCGCAGCTGGCAGAGGCAATGGGAAAGATTCCAGATGCAGCGGAGGGGGGTGGGGCAGAGAGTGGGACTGGGAGTTGCAGCTCTTCCTGAACTGAATATTCACACAGTGCAGCCTCCTTTCAAAACTTCTGGCATGGCTTGGATTTTGAATATCAGAATCCCTAAAATGGATTTTTAAAAATGGGGTGCAAAATTTGCCTTTTGATCATTTTTATTAGAGCAGAAAACTTAGATGAATTGGGATGCCAGGCAGTGTGAAAACGTGGGGCTGGTCCCATCTCTGTGATCTGGCAGCACAGAAGAGGGTGGGCTCTCTAAGGCTCTGGGGGCTGATGTTAGAGGCTCCCTGCACATTTGTAGGTGGCACTTGGGAAGCAACATGTATGCAGAACCTAAGTGCTCTGCCCTGAGTTCTTTTCTCTCTCTCCCTATCAGGATGTCTGGAGACCTCAGCAGCAACGTGACTGTGTGTAAGTGGGTCCTGTCCTGTGGGTGGTGTGTTGGGTGGAGGCAGGCTGAGGCAGTCAGAACTTTTTGTGGTAACACCGTCTTTCTCTGCAGCGGTGACAAGCAGCACTGTGTCTTCCAACGTGGCAGCCAAAGCCGGCTATGGAGGCGCTGGTTCTGGAGGTAGAGGATATGGCTCTGGAGGAGGAGGAGGAGGATACAGCTCTGGAAGCGGCAGAGGTGGCGGTGGAGGAGGCTACGGCTCTGGCTCTGGAGGAGGATACGGTTCTGGAGGAGGCTATGGTTCTGGAGGAGGCTCCAGGGGAGGCTCTGGAGGAGGATATGGTTCTGGAGGAGGCTCAAGAGGAGGCTCTGGAGGAGGTTACAGCTCTGGAGGAGGTTACAGCTCCGGAGGAGGCTCAAGAGGAGGCTCTGGAGGAGGTTATGGCTCTGGAGGAGGTTATGGCTCTGGAGGAGGCTCTAGAGGAGGCTCAGGAGGGGGATATGGCTCTGGAGGTGGCTCTAAAAAGGGAGGGGGAAGTTCTCAGAAGGCTGGCTCCGGTGAAGGTTATGGTTCCAACGTGAGCTTCTCTTTTACATAAAGATGGAGTCCTACTCTTGTTTCTCCCACTCCAGAATGTAGAAGCTTGTCTCTGTACATCTAATTGACAGCAAATCAAACCTTGTCATCCACCTCTGATAGCATTTTGGGGGAAAGGGATGCCCACATAGAATTTTTGAAATATCTCCTCTCCAAATAAATTAGTTGAAGCCAGTGACACCCTTATCCCCTGGGGAAGAATCTGCATTGCCTAGGTTTGTGCTTCCAGCCATCCTCCCACTCCCGGGCCCCCCTTGCATTGCCCATTTGGTGGTCCACCCCACCTCCCACAAGTATTCTGTTGAGGACCCATTTCAAAGCCTGCACCTTTCCCCTGGCAGTGCCCCCAGGGAAATATGTTTCTGTGTATATAGCCTGTTTTGCTGGCTCTGCATCTAAAGTACTGTGGTCTTGGTGTCTGCACAATAAACTTCATTTGCAACTCATAGCATGTGATGTGTGTTTCATGTCAAGCCTTGGCAGAAGTGGGTAGCTGGGAGCTATTACTCATTGCTGTCTGACTTAAGACACCAGAAAATGGAGAGATTTGGAAAGGGTAAGGAAGAGGCTACCTGGGAAGGAACGTGATGCCCCGAGGCAGCGTGGCTGGAAGAGGCCAGAAGAGTTTTCCTTCTGGAAGTCTTCAAGGGCAGTGATGAAGAAGGCTAGCCCTGGGGTCAGGGGGTGAGTGTGATGTTCTCAAAAAGTATTTTTCAGACTTGGGCACTGTCATATTGCCAGGAAGTCGATAGGGGGATTTGTGGAAAATTCTCTTTTCAGAAAAAGCCACTCTTCTTAAGCATTTCCCACAGACTGCCCCCAGCCCCCTCTCTGAGGCCCCTTCTCCTCAGGGCAAACCAGCTGAGCTCCCAAGGCTCCCATCCAGGCTGTCTGCAGCTCTGGGCTTCCAGGGCAGAGTTTCCTCAGCCTTCCTAGGTCACAGGCTCTCTATGTGCCTGCAGTCCTATGTCTCTGTGGGGGGCTCTCAACGAGGCTGAAGGGGACTATCTGGGCAAGACTCTGGGACTATCAAGTGGCATCCAAAACTAAGAGACTGCCATTTTCAAGAACATCCCCCTCCCATCAGAGAAGTCTCTCAACACATTCAGCAGATGGTGGGCCCTTCTTTTCTCCCCTGTCCCGCAGCCCTCTGGGAGCCTCTGTCCCTGGGTGTTCCAAGCAAGGCGGCTTCTCCTGTGAGTATGCAGATGATTTCAGCTCCTTCCCCACAAGGCCTTGCCACCTGACCAGGACCTCCTTGGGGGCTCAGGAATTGCCGGGAAGATGGGATGGGCTCTTGGGGTTGGTACTAGACTGGCCAGAGTTGTACAAACGGGAGTTGGTAGCTTAGGTTGGGTTAGATGCAGCAGATGTGGCTTAAAACAATTCAGAAAAAGATACCGAGGGATTCTTTTCTCTTTCATTCTACTCTAGCTTCAAAACCTTGGTGAGGCCTTTGTTGAGTCTGAGAGCCTCTTCCTGTTCCTAGAAATTGTAGAGACAGTTCTGAGAAATGCAGGGGGAGGCATTGATCGACAAGCTTCACCTGTCATGTGAGGATGCCGGGCAGGAAGTGCTCTGAAGGCTGCAGGTGGCAAGGTGACAATACACGAAGCTGCCTATTCTAGGGTGATCTGATGCTCAGAGAAGGGCTCTTGGTCAGGTGGGGAGGTCTGGGGAGGTGAGGGCATCGAATGGGAAGAAGTGCGAGGGCCCAGCTGTTGTAGGGTGTATATACCATGCAAACATGAACATGACCCTACACAGGGACGAGTGTCCTAGACATTTAGGGCTGGAAGGGAGCTTTAGCAGTCAATGAATTTGAACCTCTGATTTAGGTCAGAAAACAGGTAAGACCCCAGGTGGGCACCACCCCTGATTCATGCACTGTTTGGAGGCTTCAGGAATGGTGAGCCCTTTGAAAACTTTCTGAGGGGAAAGAAGGCAAGGCAGGCAAGATGGCAGCTTTTACTCCCAACTACCTGAATTCCTGAGACTGTCAATGGTGTGCGTTTCCTGTGGCTCATATCTCCTCACTCCTGCCACACTGCAACACAACCCTTCTTTTCAGATCTACTCAGACACATGTTACTTTCATGTCAAACCCCAAGCAAAACCAGCCTTGTGGGTTAACCTGGGGATACAAGCCTGAGGCTGGAAAGAGATCTGGCTGTAAGCAGGTCATGGAGTGAGGGGCCAGTTCGAGGAAGAGATTCTCCTTTCCCTCCTAAGAGCCCCAAGAGACTAGTCTGGAATCTGGGTCATGCCCCTCTCTCCAGGGCCTCTGCCCATCTTTCTCCCAATCTGGTAATTGAATTGTCAGATCCTGGGCTTAAAACATAGATGGATGCAAGCAGAAGGGTTTTACAAGCTCTACTTCCATAGGCAACTGGGTTAAATATTTATATTCTGATGATGTTGCAGAATAGTTGGGACACACTCCCTCTCATGGTTCCCTCCCTTTCTCTGCCTTGGAGTCCTAGTGAAAATTCAAATAAGCTTCTTTCCACCCCTTCACCAAACTCTTCCCTGTCAACTTAAATGAGAGTCCTTGGACAGCTCACCTCCTCCAGGAAGCCCTGTTGAATGGAGCACTCATGCTTCCTCTACTTGCTGTGAAGTGGGGAAGTTGCACTGGGAGTTGAGAGACTTAAATGCTGACCTTCACCTTGGGGGTGGGGGGAGATTATTGTGTGACATTACACTTATCGTTTCTTCTCCCAAGGCTGATTTCTGTATCAGTTAAAGAAGATGGGATGCGGTTGTCTCTGTTTCCCCCGAGGCTCTGGTGAAAAAAGCCCTGTCTGTGCTGTTGGGTGGGCTCATTCATTAAGCCTCCCAGACTGGTGGGGGATTTGGGACACAGTCCGGAGAGAGGCTTAGAGACACAGTGTGTGGATGGGCATGAGCACCTGAAACTCTGTGTTGTTTTCATCCTATTTCATTTTATGTGTTTATTTATTATATTTTTAACATTTGAAGACTTAATTGACTTTATCGAATGATTCTTGAATCGAGCAGCATCCCATTCAGCAAGTAGAAAGGAGCCCCTCATCCCATTTCATTTTAGTTCAGTGATTGTCTGAGGGACAATGACTGTGGGCAAGGTACTGCCCTTGGCTATTTTGAGGGTACCAGCACTCACAGGATATTGCATCCCACAGGGAGCTTACACTCCAGTTATGGGATGGATGAGAAATTTACAAATAACTATTAATATAAGAGCTATTTTGGGAGCAGAAGTGGTGCATTAAGTCACCTGGGGACCTCATTTAAAATTTACATTCCTGGTTTCAACAGACTTAATGCTTTTCCCTTAAGATTGGGAACAGGCAAAAACACCTGTTGTTACTACTTCTATTCAGTATCATACTAGAATTCCCAAACAGTGCAATAATGCAAGAAAAAGAAATAAAAACATACAGATTGGAAGGAGGAAATAAAACTGACTTTTTTTTATATATGATGTTATTGTTTATGTAAAAGATCTCAAAGATTCTACACAAAAGCTACTAGAACTAACACATGAGCTTAGCAATGTTACAGGCTACAAATTAGCAATACACAGTTGGAAATTAAACTTAATAAGGCAGTATCATTTACAATAGCACCGTGAAAGCATGACATACTTAGATATACAGGTAAAAAAATTTGTGTATCATGTGTATGTTCTTGTTTTTTTCAACTGAAAAAAAACAACAACAATGAAAACAATAAGAAACATCTAAGTGGTGGAGAGAGACACCATGTTCATGGATTGGAAGACTCATATTGTTAGGATATCAATTCTTCCCAAATTGATCTACTAGTATATGTTTGACAAAATCTCAATCAAAGTCACAGCAAGACTTTTTTTTGGGTAGAAATTGATAAGATTATTCAAAATGTACACAGGAATGCAAAGTACCTGGACTAACCAAATAATTTTGAAAAAACGGTTGGAGGACTCAGACTACTTGATTTCAAGACTTACAATAATAATCAGGATAGTACAATGTTGGCCCAGCCAGCATGGCTCTGTTGGTTGAGAACTGTCCTGTGTCCTGAAAGGTTGCTGGTTCAATTCCCAGTCAGGGCACATACAGAAGGCAAAAACCATCCTACATAGACCTTTCTTTCTCTTCCCCGCCTCTCCCTCTCTCTAAGTATGTCCTCAGGTGAAGATTAAAATAAAAGAAAAAGCCCTAGCCGGTTTGGTTTAGTGAGTAGAGCATCAGCCTGTGGACCAAAGAGTCCCAGGTTTGATTCCTGTCAAGGGCTCCTCCCCAGCCCAGGCCCTGGTTGGGGCTCATGCAGGAGGCAACCAATTGATGTGTTTCTCTCACATCAATGTTTCTCTCTGTCTTCCCCTCTCTCTTCCACTCTCCCTAAAAATCAATGGAAAAATATCCTTGAGTGAGGATTAACGAAAAATAAAATAAATAAATAAATAATTAAAGAAAAAGTAAGTATGGTGCTGGTTAAATTATAGATATATGGATTGGTGAAATGGAATAGAGAGTCAGAAATAGACTATACACACTCTAGAAAAAGCAGTAACAGAAATTCTTTGTGACCTTGGGTTAGGCACACAAGCCATAAGAAAAAAAGATTAAAAAACTAATCTATATCAAGATTAAAGAGAATGAAAGTCACTGTAAAGAGAATGAAAAACAAACAAGCCATAGCAAAACACAGAGGAAATATTTGCAAAACACATATCTGATAAAGTACTTGTATCTAGAATGGACTTGTATCTAGAATATATTAAGAATTCTCAAAACTCACTAGTAAGAAAACAGACAAATTAATAAAAATGGACAGAAGATTTGAACAGACACTTTTTCAGAGGAGAGATAGAGATAGCAAATAAACCTGTGAAAAGATGCTCAACAGCATTAATCACTAGGAAAATGCAAATTGAAGCCATGATGAGATACCACTGCAACCTATTGGAGTGTCTAAAACAAACAAACAAACAAACAAACAAACAAACAAACAAACAAACAAGCGCTGGAGAGGATGGGGGACAACTGGAACCCTCACTCACTCCCCTTGAGTCAGCATGAGCAGGCAGGTCTATGGCTTGAAGTGCCAGAGTAGAAGTTTTGGCAGTGGCTCAGCCATCCCGCCAGGAGGGCGCTGGAGATGAGCAGGAACTTACTGTTGTTCCAAAAGAGCAGCGGCTGCTGCCAAGGTTATGCTGGGCGGGGAGGCTACAGTAGCTGGAGTCTCCTTAGTCTTGGTGAGAGCAGGAGCATCTCTACCAGTGTAGCTGGAGGTCTGGCTCATGGCCAAGGGGGTGGATGTTTTGGGGTGGGCAGCCTGGGTGGCATGGGCTTTGGCTTTGGTGGTGGTTTTGGCTAGGGTCAGTAGGTCCAACAGTCTGGCCTGGGGGCATCTAGGAAGTTATAATCAACCCAAGCTTGTTGGAGCCTTTGGGCGTGAAGATTGACCCTAAGGCCCA